ACCACACCATATTACACCATACCATACCTTACCTTACCATACCTTACCATACCATACCATACCATACCATACCATACCATACCATACCTTACCACACCATGCATTACCACACCATATTACACCATACCATACCTTACCATACCTTACCATACCATACCATACCACACCATGCATTACCACACCATATTACACCATACCATACCACTCATACCTTACCATATCATACCATACCACACCATGCATTACCACACCATATTACACCATACCATACCACTCATACCTTACCATATCATACCATACCAAACCATGCATTACCACACCATATTACACCATACCATACCACTCATACAGTGCCATACCATGTTCCCTTTCTTCCCGCGATAACCCTAACCCAAAACGTAAAGGACAGAAATCCAACACCAATATTAACTTATCTAACTTGTGTCAATGAGGACATTACATTAAAAAAGAACAAAGAAAAAGTACGTTTAAAACTAATATAATTAATTAATTAATAATTGATTTTGTTTACATGTTTTGGTTTGTTTGTTTTTCACCGGCAGTGGGTGGTTGGCGGGTGCTCTGGTGTGGTTTGCTTCATCTTTCTATCAGACATCTATCGTCTTTGTCTCTCCTCCTTCTTTTTTTGTGTTTATTACTCTCTTGTAACACCTCTAATCTTCGGCACTTATATAATCTTATTGTGTTGCCATGCAAGCGCCGTAAAACCTCAACTTAAAAAAAGTTTTAAAATTATGAATTAATTAACGTTTTTGTTTTTAAATGCCGTTTTTTAAATTTTTTAAATTTATTTTTTTTCTCCGGCAGACACTTCAAACTGGAGGCGGAGTTGGCAGACATGAACTGGCGAGTGCGCTGGGACGACATCATGTTTAGCGGGCCCACCAGGGGGAAGAAACCTTCGGAACGACAGAACGGACACGTAGGGAGGAATAAATGACGTCATAGTGTTGTTGTAGTCTTTGTTCTTGTTTGTTTTAGTTGTTTTTTTTAGTTTTTTTTTTGGTGGTTGTTGTGGTTGTTGTGGTGGTGGTGGTGGTGGCTGTTGTGGTGGTGGTGGTGGTGGCTGTTGTGGTGGTGGTGGGTGTTGTTGTTGTAGTTGTTGTGGTAGTTAATGTTGTTGTTGTTGTTGTTGTTGTTGTTGTGTTGTTGTGGGAGGTAGGCAGGTCCTCTGGTGTAGTTTGTTTCTTCTTTCCTATCAAAACCTCTATCTTCCTTATCTCCCCTCCTTCATTTTTGTGTTTGTTACTCTCTTGTAACACCTCTAATCTCCGGCACTTATATGACCGTATTGTGTTGCAAGTGCCGTAAAACTCGTACTGAAATAAAAATGAAGAAGTACACATAACCTACGAGTACTCGTCTGTCAGACACTAGAAAAACATTTTTAGAAGCTAAGAAACAAAAGAATATTTCAACTCTAGGCCTTTTTTTAGAATTTAAAAGATTTTTTTAAATTTTAAAGATTTAAAAAAAACGACAAAGCCAACAGACGAAAAAAGTCGTGCTTCTAATCACTCGTTGTTGACATCTCATCATGCATTTCCAAATCACAGAAGGAAACTCATAATATTATTTCTTTGGTTACAGAATTTTTTTTTTATATTTTGCTTGCATTTATTCTTTCATATCCAATATTTGTTCCATGTTTTTCAACTGGTCTCTAATCAGAAACAAATTATTTTGCCAGCCTCTAATCAAAAGGACGGGGAGTTTGAGCTGTGACGTCACAGCTGACCTTTATAATCGTGACATTGTGGGTAGACTGAAGAGGAACATTGATTTAGTCTCAGATAATCATGATTTTGCACTTCTAATTCTGTTTCAACCATTTTTTAAATCATTTTCT